TTTCTAAACGACTTTCACACGCCAGTTTCGTCGTCTGTGATAGATAGTTTTTTTGCTGATGACCTTTTTGTGGTTTTATCGTTCAAAAAATCGGAAAACATTTCTGTTATTCAAAATTTAGTTCAAGTTGAAATAGACAGGGTAACAGAATGGTGTGAGAAAAATCATATGTCACTCAACGTTGATAAATGTTCATACACTTACTATTCACTTGATCCTAAAATAAAGCCCGATTTTAAGTTAACTCTATTAAACTTGAAGCTCTTGCTCGATACCGATCCTAAACTTTTAGGTATGCGTCTTTCTCACGATATGAAATGGGCAACACATATTTGCGAAGTAGCAACATCTTGTCGGAAAATGCTTGGTGTTATTAATCGAGTTTTCGGAGGAGCATCTCAGTCAATTCGCTTAGTTTTATATCTTACTTGCGTTTTACCCAAAATCGATTACTGTAGTGCTCTTTAGGATTCTAAATTCACCACACATCTTGAACCACTAGAGGCGGTTCAACGTTTAGCAAGTCGTATTATTACCAGAAACTTCAATTACGAAACTGATAGTCTACCTCTAGTCAATAAACTAGGTTTGCCCGATCTCAGTGTCAGGCGCCAGTACTTCGACTCATATCATTTTACAAAATTTACAATAATTTGACTCTTCTCGAATCTAAGGATTTTCTTGCTAAATTGACTTCTAGGTCTCTCCGAGCAGCGCATTCTTATATGGTCTACATACCCTTCACTCCTTTCGAAACTGTCCAGTCATCCTTCTTTTGGTGGACTGCAAAAGACTGGAATACTAAAGATCTAGAAAAAGTCGTTTCCATCAATTCTCTCAAAACCTTTAAAAAGGCTTTAAAAGAACATCTTCATCTTTAGTCGTTCTCTGTTTTCAAATCTTTGCTTTTCATCATTTGTAAGCAAGATGAGTGTAAGTTAGCGGAGGAACAACAGTGTGACAGCGTAAAGTATAACTTCTATGTAATGCACTCATCTTGCCTCAAAAATTAGTGTGAAAAGCATTTCTCTCGCTATTTTTAGTTGTTGGTCATGACAGGCAGAAACTTTGAATTCCATGTTTATTTTTTCTGTTGCAAGCCATTCTTATGTCTGAACTTTTATTATGCACCATATTATGTTACCAAAATAAAAAGAAAGAAAGAAGAAAGAAAGTGTTTAATGACAATGTGTTCGTCTTGAGAAGAAACGTTTCCTTTTTATGAGGAACGCGTTCGAACGCGTTGCACAAACAAAAGTAGAATACGGTATTTCCATTTTATTATATTTTTAGAGAGCGGGAAATTTGATGCTTTCTGGTCAGATGCGCGAACAAAAGGCTAAATAGTTCCAGCTCCGAGACAAAATCATATTCTAAAATGAACAGGACGATGTAGTAGAGACGAAAAAAAGGAAATATGTGCTTTATATTCGTTCCAATAAGTTTTACTTCAGATTAAATGTGATCCTCTCTTGTAAAATCATACGCAGCACTGTTTTGAGCAAAAAATCACTGGTTACATACATCATTTTGAAAAACTCTTCCCTCCAGACAAATCCTCTCTTTCGGACTGAATAAGGTTTACAATATATTTCACCATTTTTAGCTAAGAAGTCTGAAAAAGGTATGATATTATTGTTCTCTCGAAGTATTAAATTTAGTACTGATACTTATATACCTGCTAGACAATGAATCAAAACATTACAATTCTTGTTAACAGCTTGATCCATAAATTCATAACATGATTCAAATTCACATAATAAATCTGTTATATCATTGTCCTGTGCATTTACATATTTTCGAATTCTTCTATCATAGAGATAGCATAGATAGTCAAATTCTATCTGAATTCTTTTTGTTCAGATGTTTGATTGTGCAAACGTGGATCCAATCCTAGATGAAACTGATTGGCCATCGAAAACTCTTTATTCAGTAATAATTTGGCATCATGAGCCATAACGTCCTGTATGGACCATCTGTCGTTGAAGTCTTTGTTTAATTGTAAACAAAATTCACCATCACAGTAATTCAATTTATCGGCGTACTTTTGTTGTACATTAATAAAGTTTTCAATAATATTGACGTCATCTTCAAACAAATTTCATTGAATTAAATCGTATAATTCCGATCTACCTTCCCATGAATAAATTTCAGAAATTCAGTTAACATAGATTTAAACTGGGTGTAGGTCTGTTTACTGGGATGTGGCAATTGTTTAAATTAAATTAACAATATTAACGATGATTCATCAGGTGCAAAAATCAAAAATGCTAGATGAATACATCTGACAGTGAAAGCCTAATCTTTCGCTAGGGTTACAAATTGTACATGCTGCTTGTAGCTTTCGACATTCCATAGGTATGTATTTCATCAGAATTACTTGTAATCTCACTAAGAGAAGTTTCAAGGTTGACTGGAGCTTTTATTCTTTTCTTTTTCTTTGAATGAGTATTCCAATAAGCGAAAAACAGTGCAGCGCATAGAAAACTGAACATATCAACTTAAAAGTCAGAGCCTAGAGGTTATCGACCATGCCGAATCCAATGGTAATATCAGTTTTCTTTGATTTTGATTTCATAATGAGATTTGGAAAACCTGGATTTTGAGTTTAAAGGTCTTGGGGGCATTTTTATAAAAAAATTCCACCGTAATTGAAATTCTTATTCAGTGCACTCATCGAACAGAGGACACTGTGCTTTATCTAAAAACGTATTTTGATTTTGAAAACAAATTCCATTTTTGAAGATTTTGGCAGATTATTTGTTGAAAAACCAAGCTTTTCTGGAGATCTTTTCTTGTAGCAAGAGGTGTAAAGTTAAAATTTTTTTGTTTTCTGCTTTGAGCTTGCGAAACTATACAGTTCAAACGTATAAGGTTTCAAAAGTCACCCCCTGTAACAGTGAGGTTTTCTGGTGATTTTCTAGAAACCTCCGAGGGATGCTGCTTCTTTTCAAATAAGTTCTGCCGTTAAAATTAAAACAATTACACGAAAAGACATTTTAAAGTGTCCTCTACGAAGTTAGACCTAACTAAAAGTTTCATTTTGTTTGGCTCAGAAACATTGAACATTTTTCTCGAAGCCCTGAGACCCCTCTATTCATCGTTCCGCGACCTTCAGAAATGCATGAAAACATAGATTTTCAACCACGCTGGATCTTGTGGGAATGTTAGTTTACAGAGCAAAATGCAAGAACCGAGTAAAAGTCTATACTAGCTGAAATAACCCGATTTTTGGCTACTTTCCTCAAAAAATTAAAAACTCATAACTCATTCAAAATTCATCTGAGCTACTTCAAAATCTCAATAAATACTCTATTATATTTGTTCAAACTGAATCTGTGCTTAAGATCAACAAAAAATATTCCTTTCGTTTCGACGGTTTTGAGGCAATCTTTCCAAAAATCAAAGTATTTCCTGTTGATTTCTAAAAAATGTATTGAACATTGTAGCATATTGCAGATAAAATAACTTTTCAACTCTTGCAACAAGAAAACATCCCCAGAGAATCATCCCCATGATGATAATTGTGAAGGTATTATGTCGTACCTAGATGACGACGAACGTCTTTTAACGACAGCACCTCTCGAGGACATCGAGGGAGATAAACAAGCTGACAACAAATACTGTACATGTCAACACAGACCCTATAAAAATCCAAACGAGAGCTGGAAACTACAGAGGGCATTAGCAATACAATTTGGCTTATATTTGCCCAAAAAACATACTTGCAGCAATTGGGGAGCAGGTATTGATCTTGCTTCAGGAACTTGGCGATTCGATAATCCCACGTTACGACGGCAACAATACGATATAAGAATAGAAATGGCACTGTACGCAGTATATGATGTAATATCTTTGTGGTTTATAATGCTACAAAAAGAAATGTATGCATCAAACAAGAATACCGGAACAAAATTGTCAACGGCTGAGTTAGATCCTCTTCCATCGGATTCATTAGTAACAATAACAACAGCCACGCGTACATCATCTCCCCTAGAAGAACATCCAGATCGAACAGTAACTTTAGGACCAGTAATCTCTACACCCGAAACAGAATCGATAACACCATCACCAGGCTGTAGAGATACTCAACAACGCACAGTCATCATTCGTAACATTAATCAAAACACATCAAATCCATTTATATCAACTCAACCAACACCAATGGAATTGGATGAGGGGATGTCGGTTGGGGACGGAGTCTTTTTCCGCCCCACGGACCCTTCATCAGATCAACGGCCAGTCATAAATCAACCTCGTGATGCTAACAAGCATCCTAAAACTTCTCTATCTTCTATAATTCTCGGTGCTTCAATAATGACCAACAAACGTCCATCATATGTCATTCAAAATTCAAATTACTCGAAATTCGAGCTACTCGAAATTAAAGTGTTTTTTCCTGATTAGGTATGCACCGAGCTTCGAGTTACCCGAAAACTCGAATCGAGCTACTCGAAATTCGAGCTACCCGAAATTCGAGCTACCCGAAATTCGAGCTACTCGAAATTAAAGTGTTTTTTTCCTGATTAGGTATGCACCGAGCTGCGAGTTATCCGAAAACTCGAATCGAGCTACCCGAAATTCGAATTACTCGAA